GCCTGGCGCTCAGCAACCTTTTTTTTCTGTGCTGTTCAACTGTCCAAAAGTCTGGGGCACAGAGGATGGGGACGTAGGGCTCCGGTTGCGACAGTCGTTAATGGAAAAAAATGTGATGCGCTCTTCTGGTTTTGTTTTCGATACCCTAACAAAGGCTATTTATAATTCGTTAACGCATTTGCAACTTGATAACCTGGCTGCCTTGCCTTATATTGAATCTGCATGCCTTTAAAGATTATTTATGTGCAACATAACATACGACGAAGATATAGATTCGATATATTCAAAGAAATATTAGCCTTCAGCAATAGATCCCTAAGGGTATTTTATATTCGTCGCTTGGCTTTCATCATTTATTTCTCTTTTGTTTTACATTTTATTTTTTATAAAAAGTGGATCGGGTCCAAAGGGTTTCGGGGAAATTGTTGGGATTTTGGCGACGGGATGCGTGCCCAGAGCCGACATCGAACGTCCTGCCATAAAATTGCAGGCACGAATTTTGTTTTTGGCTCTTATATTCCTCTGCCCGTCGCCCGTTTTCTTGTTTTTGTTTTGGTAGCTGCTGTTATTTTTGCAAGCCTTTTTATTTTGTCCGAGTTTATTGCGTGGAATGCTATTTAATAAATTCCATTTTATGCCACCGGCCCCCGGCCCCCGTTTTCCGGCCATCATTCGTTGCAGTTTTTGTTGCCGCCGCCGCTGTGATGGCCAGGATTTATATGCAGTTTGTGTTATTCGTGTTGGCCAATGCAAATTTTGAAATTCAATTCGGCTATTCAAACGGCGAACGCAACAACAAATTGCAAAATGAAATAACTTAAAATACTTACTGTAGGCTTAAAGTGTTCGGAAGTGAGTTACCCTGCAATCAGTGCATTTGAAAATGTGTTGCTAAAATTAAGTTACCCTTAGTAAAAATGATGCTGTTTATTGCATCAGAAAGCCTTCTCCAAGCCCATAACAATATATATTCATGGTCAGAAACATTAGCCAAGTCGATCTATATCTATATATAAAAATATTTAAAATATGGCAGTTCCAGTTTTCTTAAATTATCGCCGACTCTTGTTTTTCCCTGAAATCTAAATTCCATAAATATATATATATATATTAATGAAGGGAGATGAGGCCATTTAGGCGCAGAGCCAAAGCGTGTATTAAGTCGGGCAATCTCCCAATTTGTTAGTTGTTCTTTTTGTTGTTTTACATTTTTGTTAAAAACTTAGTTTTATTTGCTATTGCGTTTAGTTTTCCATTTTAGCAGAAAGTCACTAAGAACTGGCACAAAAACGAACAATGAAGATTGCAAAGTTTAAGCACCTCAGTTCAGTGGAAAAAAAAGAAGAAGGGACACAGAAAGAGTAAAGATGAGGAACAAATTCCCAAAAGCGTTAAAAGTTTTCAACAGCGCAACTTTTTCCGAAACTTTCAGTAACTTTGTTTTTGTTCTAGCTGCTCTTCTATGGAACATCCGCTCCGTGCTCCTTTCCAAACTAGACGAGAAAATAACAAAAACAATGTCAAGAACAACTACGATAAGCAATGAGAACTTGCGATTGTTGTGCGCGTTTCTTAAAGTTTGCTTTCGACGCTTAAAGCCGTGTTTTCTATTTCACTTGTTTTAACTTCGTCCCTGGGTGTGTGTGCGTGTGTGTGTGTGTGTGTGTGCGAGTGTGAGTGCGTGCCATGCCCCAGCCGGAGGCAGGCACGTTGTATGCAACAAGGACACGAGAGCCATAAAAATGTTTGAGTGCAGCAAAAGTTTTAAAAACAACTGCACCAGCAGCAGGACACGGCACAATAACAACAACGAGCACTCTTCAAGTGCATGCCGAAGCGCGGCTCCCTTCAACAACGCCAACAGCAACAACAACAACAATAACAACAACAACAACTCTTAAAAGGTTGCTGGGCAAAAACCAGGGTAGTTAACTTTGCTGTGCCGAAAATGAAATACCCTCGAATACAATACGATACAATATAATACAATAGGTCAATAAATCTACTTAACTGGAATTGAAACAGAAAATCGGTATATTTTATAGCGAGTATATTGAGCAAGTCTTAAGTTCTCCATAATATCCCGACTCGGACGACTCCAACATATGTTCTGTTTTTCAAATCAAAATTCGATTCGTATTTCATTTAAATTATCACCGGTTTATACATAAGGTTTACTATTCTGAACAGTCAAGGGAAAACATTAAAGATATGTTTTAGTGAAGTAACTTGTTTACAATTATATTCCTAATTATATATTCTTTATATTATATATAAATTATAATTGTATATAACGTTTTCAACAGTGAATTGCCCGCCGTATATACCCTGTTTGAGGCGCTTTTATAGTAACGGGGTAAGCTGGCATATTTCTTCTACTAGCAAAAAGTTGCTGCAACCCATTCCAATACTCCACGCCAAAACTTGGCACTGCATAGAATTCTAAAAAGTCGATAAAAGAAAAATACAATTATAATTGAAACATGGGCAGCTTGCTGCACATCGATGACGGTGGGGCAGGGGGCAGCGGGCAAGCGAGGGTTGTAGAAATTTGTTGTTTATAGTGTTGTTTTTGTTGCTCGTGTTTGCATTAACTTTATGGAGCTGGGCAAAAGTTGTACATTTACAACTTTACAATTGTTGGAAATTTAATTTCAGCTGTAAAATAAATAAATAAAGCAACGTAATTAGCTGTTACATGTTTTTTTCCGTTTCTGGCTGCTTCGCACGTTTGTCCATTATATTTGCCATGCATATGCAATTATACTCTATTTTTAATTGAATAAATTCATAGGTTAACCTCAATCAATTAGTTGTTATTTGTGCAGACGAACATTTCCGATCAATCCCCATTTACCAGGCAGGTTGGTTTGGTTTTGATAAAGTGTAAAACACATTCCTAGAGCATTTTCATGAATTTAAGTTTGAACCTGAATCTACAGCTTCTTAGCCTTTATCTTAAAGGTTTTGGTCTGCCTGTCAGTCTTGACCAGAAAATAATTTATGTTACGCATTTTAAAGGACATTATCGTGTTGTGTTAACATTAAAATGATCTGCATTTTCGAATGTCATAAACCAGTTCCCACTTTATGCTTTCTGTTCTTTCTGTATGCCTTCTCATGCCAGAGTTCCCTCAATTACAGCCGAAGTGCTTATAAAATCAATAAATAAGCTTAATGTAGGAACGAAATTAAGACTTCATGTGCCTGCAACTACTTTTGATCTAAAATTCATGTCGTGAGAAGTACTTTTAGATAGCAGGATTGCCTGAAGGATACTTCCTAGTCAGTAATTTAAATTAAACAACTTTTGTTTTATTTGATTCAAACAGCTTTTTATTATTTATAGCTGTTTTAGTGTGTTCTTTTAATCAGTTTGTCACTTAGCCGCATTTGCAGATGTATATATATAGGAGGCCAACTGTACGTGTAGCTAATGTTGCTCATGATCTTTCGCCAAGTCAATAATACATGAATTTAGAGCGTTAAAAATAAAATTTGTTGCTCATTATTCGAACGATTGCCGGCAACGATAACCTATTTCATCAGAGTGCTGATAACCCACATATATTGCGATGATCTGCGATCGTGATCTTTGCCATGCGATGCGGGAAGCTTTTATTTGTATTTTAAATGGGATTCGACGATTCCCCGGACGTTGCTTCGTGTTTCTGAGAGCTTGTTTTTGTTTTCATGATTCTTTATTTATTTTCATTTTGCGCATTTATTTCATTAATATGTATTACACACTCAGACGTACATTCGCGTATATATTTATGAATGACGTATGTGGCGTGAGCTTCGACTTTGATAACGCAATAAGAAAAGATTGCACGTAAACGCCGCAAGCATTGGGAAGGAAAGCCCGCAGCCCAAATAAACAGCCAACAATCAATTCGGGAGTGTTAATACCTCTGCCCAGTCACGAAGATCTTGTTAGTGTTCAATTCAAGAAGACTGTACTATGAAAATCCAGATTATTCTGGCTATTAATGTTCAAATATACTAGGTATTATAAACATTTCGCTTCGATCTGTGCCAGCATTTCGTTGTCCATTGACTCAACTGGGGCAAATTTGGGTGGGAACCAGATTTGGATGCTGCTAATTCGTATGATTAAATCTACGCAAAACAAATCCCCAATATGCTAAGCAATTGTGTGCTGTTCTCATTTAGCAGTTGCTACATAAGCTCTCCTTCCTCTTCAGCTTGCCTTTATTAAATAGTATCTTTCACTGGGGTTGTCTTCAAAATTATGTAATAAAAGCAAACACTAGTTCGGGAGGCAATAGCTATGTATTTGCCTTACAAATTTTCATATAACTTTGTGTGCACATGCTTAAAAATAATTTTTCAAATTTAATATGGATGACTTTGGGGAAGCCCTATAAAAGATTCGTGGAACTATCATTATAGGCGTTTCAAGTTTGCAATTAAGCTGACGAGATAGAATAGATGGAGCTCTAAGTTTCTGATTTGATACAGTTTGGCGAAATATACACATATTTGAACATGACTGGTATGCAATCTGAACCTTTAACCCAAATTGGAAATAGTATATACAAATCATTTCGTTCAATAGCTTTTTAATAGTTATCGTAATATTCCTCCCCCTTCCAACCCCCCTCTCAACCCCTTACCAATAAGTCAAATAAATTGATCAGTTGGAACTGCCTACCAATTAAAGCCACAATTTTAATGATATTGTCTTTTTCCAAATATACGATTATTCTATAGCACAATAAAATCTACTGCAGAAAATTTCATCAATATCGGTTAAGAAACACAGAAGTTATTACACAAAACGTATGGTTATATTGGTAAGCGACGTGGTTCAGTCGATAGAAGTTCGATATCGCCAGGGAAGAAACTTTTTTGTAATATTTTTTAAAAGAGTAGCCATTAAATAAGTAAAAATAGTGTAAGGCATTGCGTACAGAAGATTAAGGGTATGCCCTAGTCGAGCTCTCCTGTTTGGACAAAGTAAAATTACATTTGAATAAAAGTAGAAAAAAATATATTTCAATTGAATTCGAACGTAAAATGCAGAAACAATCAAAGTAATGTGAAGCTTTCTAGGAATAAGATCATCTCTGTACAAAGAGGGAAAGAGGATTTTCTTGGTCCATTCTCACATATTTTTCGAAATTCAGTTTTTACCCTTTCGAAGCTTTTGCATAACATCCAAAAAGTTGCTAACAACCTGCTCAACTTCAGGCCTTTTTTCATCGATTACCAATTGCTTCTCGCAACGCGTATAAATATTTTGCAAAATTCCACCAGTGTGATAATAGTTAATTATCTTCTCGCGTTTGGACCAGTTCATGAGCGTTTCACGCTTTGTTGGCTCATAAATACGAAAAACCTTATAGAACCTTTCCAAGTTCTGAGACATTTTGCGCAACTCCGCCTCGTCAATGTTGGGTATGCGCAGATTCGGCTGGCCTACAATGTGATAGGGGTCGTGCTCTGAAGAAAAATTGGAATAGCGAACCGAAGGCCAGTCCACCGAGAGGAGAGTATTATACAACATCTTTGGGTGACCCAAAATGCCGTGTGCTATATCGATCAATCGCAGCTGTAGCCCGGGCACCATATACTCAAGCTCGAGCTCGGCTATGCGGGGATCCGAGCCACGATACCTGCGCTCACCTATCCATAGGATAGGCATATCCTCATCGACAATATTTTTGAGCTCTTGAATTAATGGTGAGGTCTGCTTCTGATAGTTGACCAACTTATTGTTGCGTCCATAGAGCAAACATCGCTCTGCGGGTGAGAACTTCAGATACTCCGGTCGATTCGCTATAAAATGTTCAGATCGAAAAAGTCGGTTCATTTCCATCTCAATTAAGTAATAAGCCCTCCTGTGCATCGTGATCCAAACGATCTGAGTGGCGACAGCAAGAAACTGCTCGTGAAAATATCGGTCCTTGATCTTAGAAGATATATTGACGATTTCTTTCGTATGGTAAAACTTTTTGAAATCACCTTCACCCGTTATGATTGTGCTGTAATCTCGAGCAACTAGAATGCGATACTGGCTTAAGTAGGAAGACCATATTCGCTTAATTTCGTTCGTCTGCTCGCTTTGCATCTGGGCCATTTCGCCAGCTATCTCATCCCGACGGATCAGCACAAATTCTACCAAACGCAGAAAATATTCAAAGTAGATAATTAAACCATGCAATAGTCTATGAACTAAAGGCTGGTGCATAAATTCAAGAAACTTAATGTGCAAAAACTCTTTCGGCATTAAAAAGAGCACCAGATCCCGTACATCGTTGATCATCACCGTGTCCGCGTCGTACGAGGTATCGGGACGGACAAACACCTGTCGAAAGATCAACTCCTCCTCTTGAGTAAAAGTGCGAAGAAACTTGTATCCATTTGTGTTTATGTAACGTTCATCTGCGTCATCCAAATCAAAATATTGTTCAAAGCGCAATGCTTCACTTTTCTTGTCCCAGGACCATTTGCCACTTTGGTACTTTGGAGCCGAGCTATCAACGTGAATGCGCTGCATCATAGACAATTAGAATAATCACGAATATATGGTATATTTGATACGATATTATAAGTTCGTTTCAGGTTTAAGGTTTTTGCTAGTTTGTTTCTCTGTTTAGTGATATGTTTTGGAGATATTATAGTTGTAGATTGACACTTCAGGCAAGTTAACTGTTATATTGTAGATTGACACTAGATTGTATAGACTTTCGATAATTCATTGTTTTATATATATAGAGGAAATAACCCGTCATCGCCGAGATCAAAGGAATAATATTGAAAATGTAATTGGTAATCAGATTAAGACATATACAGCCCGCTCCAATGTTATACATTTACCATACTTCCGTCCCCCACTTCCATCGCAGTCTGGACTAACAGTTTCATATATAGAGATAAACATGTAACTGATGTATTATAAACATCACACATCATATGTATAGAAGAAGAACTATGTAAGTTCATTATAGTCTAATGGGCATATATAGTTTGTAAGCGTCTGGCAACCTCGTCCCATAAGCATCTCTAGAGCAGCAAGTCAATAAGTAAAGAAAGAAGATGATACTTAAGAATATAGATATCTTAGCCACTATTTGTAACGTTAACTTTATTAAATTTTCCAATCCATTAACGATGTTTGTATAGGCTAAGATCACTCAGTCAATCTGACGCATCTTACAAGTATGTGTATGTGTTGCCCCCACAACACTAAGCTATCCTCATCGTATAAAATATACAAATTATATAAAATAATTAATCGATCGGTATGACCCGGCATGCTGTAGATAAAATGTCTCCTGCCTGTGGGAAATTTAAATTTATTTTTAATCTCACGTCTACATAGATATTTAAAAATGATTTTAAACTCCATCGAGTTAAAAACTAAAAATTAGTCAACGTTTTTTTTCGTTCCGTAATATGAAGTTTAGGGAAGGGTAGATTTGCGAACAATGTAAAACACGACTCAAATGAATTTTCATAAGAATCCTTGGCTGTAAATTGGAACCTGAAACTTCGCCTATATAACCTTTCAACCATATTTTCCGATCAAATGGTAAACAAACAAAAACAGGAAAATTACCGCAGGTTCAAAATTTATAGAAACTCGTATACATTGAGTTCCTACGTTGGGCCTTTTAAATAAGTTTAATGCCGACCGGACAAATCTTGAAACCACATCCATAGGAAATAAGTTTTTAAAAATATCCACGATTTTCAAAGTTAGCTTCAATGCGGTGGGTTATTTTCGAAATCAACAAGTTTTAGATTCACTAAAAGAATTGAATTTAGTTTTGTGTGTTAGTGTTGGTTTTATTAGGTTTAGGAAACATTGAAACGAACTCAACCCTATATTGTAAAATTGAAATCAAAATTATATCTGGACAGGTAAGCGTTCGCTCCGTTCCTTTGGCTCTATGAAAAAATATTCGGCGCCCACTTTCACGTACTGTGAGGTAGAAGGACGAGCAGTTTCCGCTGTGGTCGCGTCTCCCATAAGAGGGATCTTCTTTTTCCGTAACCTGGCCATCATATCCAAAAAATCGGCCACAATCTCAGTTACTTGAGGTCTATTTTCATCGTCCTCCAATTGCTTTTCGCAACGCAGAATAATATTGCGTAAAACTCCGCCACTGCGATAGAATTTTATTATTTTTTGCCGATTTAACCAATTAAGAAGGATGTTGAGGCGGGCAGATTCATAGATGCGATAAACCTGGTAGTAGTGCTCCAAGTCCTGTGACATTTTGCGCACAGCCATTTCATTGATGTTGGGTATGCGCAGATTCGGCTGGCGTATAATGTAATAGGGATCGTGCTTTGCCGTAAAATTCTGATAGCGAACCGAAGGCCAGTCCAGCGAGAGGAGAGTATTATACAACGACTTTGGGTGACCCAAAATGCCGTGTGCTATATCGATCATTCGCAACTGTGACCCGGGCACCATATACTCAAGCTCGAGCTCGGCTATGCGGGGATCCGAGCCACGATACCTGCGCTCACCTATCCATAGGATAGGCAAGTCCTGTTCGGCTACATTTTCAAGCTCCTGAATCAACGGGGAGGTTTGGCATTGATAGTTGACCAACTTATTGTTACGTCCATAAAGCAAGCTTTTTTCCAAGGGTGTAAAATCAGGATATTCTTTCCGAATCATTAAAAAGTGTTCGGATCGAAAAAGTCGGTTCATTTCCATCTCAATTACGTAATAGGCCCTCCTGTGATTCGATATCCAAACGATCTGAGTGGCGACAGCCAGAAACTGCTCGTGAAAATATCGGTCCTTGATCTTAGAAGATATATTGACGACTTCTTTCGTATGGTAATATTTCTTCATATCACCGTCTCCCTTTAAGATAGCGGAGTAATTTCTGGCCGTCAACATGCGAATCTGACTTAAGTATGAAGACCATATTCGCTTCATTTCGTTCGTCTGCTCGCTTTGCATCTGGGCCATATCGCCAGCTATCTCATCCCGACGGATCAGCACAAATTCTACTAACCGCAAATAATAATCAAAGTATATTATTAAGGCATGCAACAGTCTATGGACTGCAGGCTTGTGCATAAATTCAATAAACTTCATTGATAAAAACTCTTTCGGCATTAAAAAGAGCACCAGATCCCGTACATCGTTGATCATCACCGTGTCCGCGTCGTATGAGGTATCGGAACGGACAAACACCTGCCGAAAGATCAATTCCTCCTCTTGATTGATGGTGCGAAGAAACTTGTATCCATTTGTATTTATGTATCGTTCATCTGCGTCATCCAAATCAAAATATTGTTCAAAGCGCAATGCTTCACTTTTCTTGTCCCAGGACCATTTGCCACTTTGGTACTTTGGAGCCGAGCTATCAACGTGTACGCGCTTCATCTTAGACAATTAGAATAATCACGAATATATGGTATATTTGATACGATATTATAAGTTCGTTTCAGGTTTAAGGTTTTTGCTAGTTTGTTTCTCTGTTTAGTGATATGTTTTGGAGATATTATAGTTGTAGATTGACACTTCAGGCAAGTTAACTGTTATATTGTAGATTGACACTAGATTGTATAGACTTTCGATAATTCATTGTTTTATATATATAGAGGAAATAACCCGTCATCGCCGAGATCAGAGGAATAATATTGAAAATGTAATTGGTAATCAGATTAAGACATATACAGCCCGCTCCAATGTTATACATTTACCATACTTCCGTCCCCCACTTCCATCGCAGTCTGGACTAACAGTTTCATATATAGAGATAAACATGTAACTGATGTATTATAAACATCACACATCATATGTATAGAAGAAGAACTATGTAAGTTCATTATAGTCTAATGGGCATATATAGTTTGTAAGCGTCTGGCAACCTCGTCCCATAAGCATCTCTAGAGCAGCAAGTCAATAAGTAAAGAAAGAAGATGATACTTAAGAATATAGATATCTTAGCCACTATTTGTAACGTTAACTTTATTAAATTTTCCAATCCATTAACGATGTTTGTATAGGCTAAGATCACTCAGTCAATCTGACGCATCTTACAAGTATGTGTATGTGTTGCCCCCACAACACTAAGCTATCCTCATCGTATAAAATATACAAATTATATAAAATAATTAATCGATCGGTATGACCCGGCATGCTGTAGATAAAATGTCTCCTGCCTGTGGGAAATTTAAATTTATTTTTAATCTCACGTCTACATAGATATTTAAAAATGATTTTAAACTCCATCGAGTTAAAAACTAAAAATTAGTCAACGTTTTTTTTCGTTCCGTAATATGAAGTTTAGGGAAGGGTAGATTTGCGAACAATGTAAAACACGACTCAAATGAATTTTCATAAGAATCCTTGGCTGTAAATTGGAACCTGAAACTTCGCCTATATAACCTTTCAACCATATTTTCCGATCAAATGGTAAACAAACAAAAACAGGAAAATTACCGCAGGTTCAAAATTTATAGAAACTCGTATACATTGAGTTCCTACGTTGGGCCTTTTAAATAAGTTTAATGCCGACCGGACAAATCTTGAAACCACATCCATAGGAAATAAGTTTTTAAAAATATCCACGATTTTCAAAGTTAGCTTCAATGCGGTGGGTTATTTTCGAAATCAACAAGTTTTAGATTCACTAAAAGAATTGAATTTAGTTTTGTGTGTTAGTGTTGGTTTTATTAGGTTTAGGAAACATTGAAACGAACTCAACCCTATATTGTAAAATTGAAATCAAAATTATTTCTGGACAGGTAAGCGTTTGCTCCGTTCCTTTGGCTCTATGAAAAAATATTCGGCGCCCACTTTCACGTACTGTGAGGTAGAAGGACGAGCAGTTTCCGCTGTGGTCGCGTCTCCCATAAGAGGGATCTTCTTTTTCCGTAACCTGGCCATCATATCCAAAAAATCGGCCACAATCTCAGTTACTTGAGGTCTATTTTCATCGTCCTCTAATTGCTTTTCGCAACGCAGAATAATATTGCGTAAAACTCCGCCACTGCGATAGAATTTTATTATTTTTTGCCGATTTAACCAATTAAGAAGGATGTTGAGGCGGGTAGATTCATAGATGCGAAAAACCTGGTAGTAGTGCTCCAATTCCTGTGACATTTTGCGCACAGCCATTTTATTGATGTTGGGTATGCGCAGATTCGGCTGGCGTATAATGTAATAGGGATCGTGCTTTGCCGTAAATTTCTGATAGCGAACCGAAGGCCAGTCCAGCGAGAGGAGAGTATTATACAACGACTTTGGGTGACCCATAATGCCGTGTGCTATATCGATCATTCGCAACTGTGGCCCGGGCACCATATACTCAAGCTCGAGCTCGGCTATGCGGGGATCCGAGCCACGATACCTGCGCTCACCTATCCATAGGATAGGCAAGTCCTGTTCGGCTACATTTTCAAGCTCCTGAATCAACGGGGAGATTTGGCATCGATAGTTGATCAACTTATTGTTACGTCCATAAAGCAAACTTTTTTCCAAGGGTGTAAAATTAGGATATTCTTTCCGAATCATTAAAAAGTGTTCGGATCGAAAAAGTCGGTTCATTTCCATCTCAATTACGTAATAGGCCCTCCTGTGATTCGATATCCAAACGATCTGAGTGGCGACAGCCAGAAACTGCTCGTGAAAATATCGGTCCTTGATCTTAGAAGATATATTGACGACTTCTTTCGTATGGTAATATTTCTTCATATCACCGTCTCCCTTTAAGATTGTGGAGTAATTTCTGCCCGTCAACATGCGAATCTGACTTAAGTATGAAGACCATATTCGCTTCATTTCGTTCGTCTGCTCGCTTTGCATCTGGGCCATATCGCCAGCTATCTCATCCCGACGGATCAGCACAAATTCTACTAACCGCAAATAATAATCAAAGTATATTATTAAGGCATGCAACAGTCTATGGACTGCAGGCTTGTGCATAAATTCAATAAACTTCATTGATAAAAACTCTTTTGGCATTAAAAAGAGCACCAAATTGCGAACATCGTTGGTCATCACCGCGTCCGCGTCGTATGAGGTATCGGAACGGGCGAACACCTGTCGAAAGATCAATTCCTCCTCTTGATTGATGGTGCGAAGAAACTTGTATCCATTTGTAATTATGTAACGATCATTTGCGTCCTCCAAATCGAAATGTTGCTGAAAGTCCAATGTTTCACTTTTTTTGTCCCAGGACCATTTGCCACTTTGGTACTTTGGAGCCGAGCTATCAACGTGTACGCGCTTCATCTTAGACAATTAGAATAATCACGAATATATTTTTGCATTATAAGTCTGTATTGTATTTAAGTTTTAATTTATTTGTTTCTGTTTGTGTTGATAGATTTGAATGATATAATATTTTTAGATTGAAACTTAATGCAAGTCAACTTTTTCTGTCTAAAGTTTAGTCTATTTCAATGTTTTCTGAATCTACAATGCCGGACTAACCTGGCAACCTTAGCTTGGGCTTAGACATGCGCTTCTATAAATATATACACATACTAAGACAAAACTACATAGTCAAGCGATCCGTGCAGAGCATACAGACAGGATGGAAAGATAGCACAGCTTAAGTTCCACATGGATGAAATTCCACTGAGCTAGAAGGAGGACGCTCCGAAAGACAAATTTTATTTCGAACCAATCACTTTGGTTTTCAGGATCAATCAATCGGCTAAGGTTGTCATTGAGCGAGTAGCAGAGATTGTCATAAAAGCAAACGAAGCAAAAGTTCCGCCGTACAAGCATATCGCGTTCTTTCTTGAATTATGCTGAACCCACGGTTTCTGTAAATGAGCGTGACGAGACAATTGTATTGTATGCCGAGCATACGCTATGAAACTGCATAGATATTCCAAGGGTATTCTCTCCATGGGATGAGACTAACGACGGTCGCGGGACTCACTTCCATAAACTCCCACTGTCAAGCACGGACAAACATAAGCCGGTAGTTAGACTACAGTGAATTTCTATCTCACCGAATTTGATTTGGGTAGTAAATAAGTATGAAGCACGTGCTCAAAGCAGTTGCGTGGAAACCTCTATGTGGGTCGAACTAAGTGGATAAGATAGACGCGAGCGTAGAAGTATGCGATGGTGATACCGAAGAGGGAGCTATCAGGCTCGGTGTGAGAATTTCAACTAGTCCTGTGCAGCTTCGCTGCCGTTTCGCGGGAAAATATTCAATTGTTGGTATACAATAAAGCCTCTATTTTTTTGTTTTGTTTATTTAGTTACAGTAAGTGTGCTTTAGTTATGGTTTCCGCCCTCTCTTTTAGGATTTCCTCTTATTTAAAGGGTAGAGCTAGGTTGACTAGCTCGAAAGAGATTATCTGTCCTTTTGCTGTACCTCAAAGCAGTGTTGACTTTTATCATAAATGATCTCCCCTCTTTTTTATCACATGCTTTTGTGCTTATTTATGTAAATCATGTGAAATTTACTCTTGCGCACACTGTTCCCCTATATAACACTCGTCTACAGGATGATTTAAACTCTATACAACTTTTATTTTCGGCAAATCAATTTCATCTAAATTGTTTAAGGTGTCAGCTATACCATCGGCCATATTCCTTTGCAGCTTATACTAGGGGTTCTCTTTGATTATAAACTCTGCTTCAATCTTCATATTGGGACACAAAGCTTCTTTTGCCATCTTACTCCAGAAGCCTTCTTCTTAAGCTTTCGCTAATCAAAAGAAGGAATATCCTTAGTGTTTTCATACATAAGTTGTTTGTCGGAGACATAGATTCTTCTTTTCTTTAAGATTTCAATTCTCTGCTCCCTCAAGACTTACCAGGAATGAACGCCCTTTATTCGTACCTAAAAGCACGACAGTAAATAAAATGAATTAATAAATGTAGTGATTAAACAAACATAGAGAAGATATCAGACTATTCTCAATGGGTACTGGGTATAAAACAATTGCCTAATCGAAATTTACGTCTCTCAAATTCCAGCTGAATATTATGGAAAAGGCGAAAGCGTACATTAAAAATGAACTCCGTGGCAGCAGCGCGCCACTGCAATCCGAGCCAAGAGCACAATCACAACCACAACCACAATCACTGCCGCAGGGGCACAATCAGCACGTGGCCGGTTCGGAGCTGATGCCGTCGCCGGTTGGAGGCTATCATATGCAGCAATACTACCATACGGGGCCTGTCAAATCCACGGGCCGTGCCTCGGCGCCACCGGAGCACATGACCGCGTCCGTTTGCTTTGTATGTGGCGGGCATGGCAGCTACGAGGCGTTGCGCGTGCGCGCCAATCCGGAGCGGCCGAGCGAAGCACACTTTCCGTTTCTGGAGCGGCATGAGCCGCCCCAGGGAGTGCCGGCCGTGACAGCCAATCAAATGTACGTGATGGCCTGCATGCTGTGTTTTCGCTCACTGCACGAGCAGTGGGAGGCGTACGAACGTCAGAAAAAGCCGCTCCTGCAGCGCATTTACCACATGAAGCGAGTCGATGGCAAGGGCTACATCGGAGCAGACGTGGCCACCCAGAGCGAGTACGCGGCCCAAATGCTGGGCCTCAGTGCCGAGCATCTCAGCCAGAACGGACTCGCTGAGCTGCACAGCGCCGCCGCTGCGCCGCCATTGGATCCATATGCCCTGAGCAGGCATTACGCGGTGGGGCCACCGTCAGTTGCGTCGCCCCAGCAGCTGCAGCACCACAGTACCTCAAGAAACGCCTCGCCGGACTACTATCCTCGCAACGCTACGCCCACTAGCCACAGTCAGGGCTACAGCAACCACAAATACCTGAGCCGGCCGCAGTCGCGGGATATGCAGCTGCCATCCCCATTGTCGCGACCGCCCAGCGAGCCGCCTGCTCGCACATCGCTTGGCCCTGGCTCCAACTTTGCGCAGCACAAGTTTAAGCTGGGCCAGCACAACTATCAGCCACCGCCGCCCCAGTCACCGGCACAGTACCAGCCCGCGCAGTACCAACAGCTGCAGCAGCAAACGGCCGCCTATCACATGCTGCAGCAAGTGGCCGCAGTTTCGGGTGAGCATCAGTCCCACTATAAGGGGAATCCATACAGTGGCCTGCCCAGCATGGGTACGCCAATGCCGCTGGCTGCGCAGCCGCCCAGCCTTGAGGATGATAATGCCACGGTCCTTGATCTGCGCAATTCGTCCAATGTGAATGTAACGCCAGCAGCGACGCCCACTCCTGTTTCCACGACCACGTCCCGTAGTCAGCCGGGCAGCTCTTCCTCCTCAGCCGAGGTGGGAATTCTGGATCTGTCCATGCCGGATAAGAACTCCATCACGGAGGTCTGCTACGTGTGCGGCGACGAGCAGCGTCGCGGCAGCCTAGTCGAACTAAGCACCGTCAAGCCAAAGGAGTCCAGGCTTGGTCAGCCGGTGGCTTACTTTCCGCTCTTCAACGAGCAGCATCCACGCCCCGCCCGCTCTCGCCCAAAGGATCCCCGTGGCATGATCCAGGCCTGCATGCCCTGCTACGAGGATCTCATACAGCAGTGGAACGCCCATCAGGTAAGCCCTTCGCAAATTATCAACTGCTTATATCCGATTTATATCTGAAGAACATTTATATCTAACTGCACGGGTTGCAGAATAGAATTCTAATTGTCCCAAGAGATGGAAAAGAGTTTCATCTGGGTAGAGAACATTTGTATTTCGCCTAGGTGGCATATTTATGAGAATTAGTTATTTTTTGTTTTACTTCGAAAAAGGGTATTTTAGAAGGAGACATCTCCGACCTCAAAATATATATTTATATTCCAGATCAGCATCAACAGAGTTAAGGTCTTGAAATTAAGCTTAAGTCAGGCAGTAGACTCTATCATATTTGCTGCTTGTATATGAGCAAAATCTTATCAAGATGTCACTACAATATTATATAGGTCTATAGGAGGAATCGGTCGAAAAATGAGTTTTTTTTCACTATTCCCACGGATAGGAAGGCAAAATTTAAGTCGTGTCTGCAAATGCATAAGAGAAATCACATGTGATTTGCAATCGCGATACCCATGTCGCCAAACTATATTCCTTCTCTTTTCTAAAATATCGCCACATTATCATCTCGGACGATGTGTTGAAATTAACTGGATATCTACTAGTCGACTCACACATGCATAAATGTATGAATAGCTCGTAAATGTTTTAATATCATTCAATTGCATATAAATAATGCTAAGTAGATTACGACTACAAAATTTATATAAATTAAATATCAAATGGGTATCTGAACATCTGTGTGGATTGGGCGGTGTGGGGTAGCTCAGCTCGTTGGCGACTAAACGCGAAAAAAAGAGAGAAAAAATAAAACATTTGGGCAACCAAATTTACGAGAAATGTTTTCGCGTCACACGAATCAAAATAAACAAATTGCTGCGGCCGCGAAGATGAGGATGTGGATGAGTGTAAACTGTGCTGATGATGATGATGGTTGGGGATGGCTGGGGATGGCGCCGCGTAGTGACCCCGGGTGCTGTGCCAATCCGCAGACTTTTAATCAGTGGGGTCGACATTGGAGTCAGCCCCAGAGCTGGTCCCGGCGATAGAGGCCGAGAGAATTATCATTGCCGCCACATGACTGCGTCTCTGGTGGGAATTTTGACCGCAGGGTCGCTTGTGTTTCTGATTAAATTTTAATAGCTTTCCGCGATTATTTGCCTTTTTCTTTTCAGTCTGTGTTTGCGCTTTATTTTGCTGTTATTTCTGTGTGTGAAATGTATTTTCGGACTATTCCTCACATTCGTTGATAAGGTTTGGAAAAAAAAAAACATCCAGAATCGACGAAAAAGAAAAGAAGAGCGCTGCAATTTGAAATTAGATTTTGTTAGTTATTTTTAGAACTTACTCGAGCATTTTTAATAATGATTCACCAAGCCGAAAGCCTAAATATCATTCATATTATTTACAATCTTTATTTACATTTATGTGCAAATTTAACGAATAAATTCTATGACCAGATAAAGCAACGAAATCTATATATTTTTATCTATTTGTCAAATCAATTACAATTGGGGGAGATTAAAATTATTGAGATAATGAAGATTATAAATAAATACAATATATTTTTTACTTATTTATTGTTTCTAAAAACTTTAAAATTAAAAGAAAAAATTGGTTAAATTTTTTCACTGAAGCTTTTAATTCATATTCATGGGAACATCAGTAAATAAATAATTATATGCATAAAATTTGGGAAAAACTAAAGACCTCAAACTCAGAACTGTTTCAATTTTCGTAAAATCCACGAATCCAGATTGTTTTGTTTTTATCCTTAAAGCTCATTTGTTAACTTCTTCATCAACTGCTTTAACAATTTTTGAGGAGCACACCACGAAACTCAAATTTGAGGAATACTTTAACTCCAACCTAGCGTAAATGTTGCACGGGCGGGAAATGTGTCTAAAACAGATACATATCTAACAATTGATGTACAAAATTGTTACGGGCAAGAGAAAGTACCGCTAGACATTGACATTCAGAATTAGACATTTTGTTGCATCTAGATTACACAAATAATAGGTTTTTCTTCTAAAAAAACCATTAATGTATTAATGTACATTTAAACAGATTAAATTAAATTGCCTTTTTTTAAATTTCTCATAATTTGCGTTAAATGTATTTATTTTTATTACCCGTGTTTGAATCTAATCTCTGAGAGTTTTCCCTCTCACCTGTCTACACCAAAATCCAGTTAAAATGTGTATTCTTATCAGACCTCTCTGCTGCCGGTAACTCAATCTATGGTCAATTCATTTGAAATTTATATTCAAAGCGCAAAATTTGCAAACATGCCATAAAAATGTAAAATTCAAATCTGCCGTTGGAACTGGGCGAATACAATGTGCAAAATGCCGGATAAATAATTAAATGCCATTAATTGGAATTGTGTAAATTTCAGACACACACACACACACACACAAATGCCCGAATAAAACAAACACAAAACACAAAAAATGCGCATGAAATAATAAATAAATAAATGCAATAAAATTGCAAATGCTGCAGTGCGGCGACTGCTGCGGCGGGGTGGGGCGGGGCGGGGCGAGGCGGGGGCGGGGGAGGATAATGCCCGGCGCGCCGCAACGCCGGCCTATACAGAGAAATGCAAAATGAATAAATAATCAAACATTGAAAATCAACGACGGGCCTGGCAACGAGACAAATTAATTAAATTTAACCCAGTAAAGCAGCGCAATTTAAACGCAAATTTGGCGCCAAGCCAAACAAACCGAACCGCCAGCCAGCCCCAACCCCTCGCACTCGACTCCCCCCCCTGGCTGATCATGGCAAGAGTGAGAGAGAAAGATAGAGAGAGAGAGGGAGGGGACTCATCAATCGCATGACGTACGCAAATTTCCATTCAGCTGGCAAGCGGAAAGTGCGAAAAAGCATTTAATTATTTATGCTCATCTTTAAAGAGTTCCGAGCGCTAACTGAATCCAATTTAAACGAATTTAAATCGATCTCGATTCCTTGCCAAGGTTTTTTTCTTTTTCTTCCGATGTATTTCTCGCCTAATTCAATTGTGAATTAATAAAATATCGGGCCAAAATTAAATGAATGGATGGCTAGCTCGACTACAAGATGCCCTCTAGTCTATCAAGAGCATTTAAATAAAGATATTTTAAATATCTACGATAAAAATAAAAAATGAATATATTTATTCGGCTAAAGTTTACCCATGTCTGGACTTACATTTTTTTATTTTCACAAATTGTCTTACGTTAATTACAGCAATAGTAATAATTATTCAGATATAGTTTTGAATGTTCTTTATCCAGATTTTTAGGTTGCTTTCGCGACTGGCTCTGGCTTTATTTCCATGTTAATTGAAGTTTTGGATAGTTTACTGCCTATTTTATATAAAGAATATATAAACGTAATGAAGAGCTGCCTCTTTAAATGGGGTGTCTTGAAAAATGGAAGAGGGAATGTTTCCGACTCCACAAAGTATGTATTCATAGCCAGATTATTATATTGCTATCATGGAAATGATTGTCCGAGAAATGTTTCTTACTTAAATAAATGAAAATAGAGGCTTTCACTTATTAACGTGAATTACTCATAAGTTATTAAGCCCGGTAAATGCCGGATAATTTCTTCTAGTATTCAACAAAATAAAAGTAATTGCTGTACAATATTATGTGTACTTGTGTGTGTGTGTGTGTGTGTGTGTGTGTTTATAAATGCTTGGAAATACCATGGGCAATTTGTTCTCGACTGATGTTTATGTTGGCTCGACTATTTTGTATTTATGTCTCGATTGATTCAAATGAGATTAAACACAAGCCTGAAAATTCTCCCAATTCTCTTGCTCACATTCTTTACATATTTCACCAATATTTTCACTTAGTATGGCAACAAAAAAAAAATGACTTCTCATTAATTAGCTTGCAGTTCGCTTGGTAAGTAATTTGTCAAGCCAATTGCATTTATTTGAAACTATTCCGAACGGTTATGAGAATGACAACAATGACCCGCGTTGTCTCTTGGCGCTCAGGAATTTTTGTCAGTTTGCCAAAGAGGCGAAGCGAAAAAGCGGATTAAACTGGTTAAGCAAATGAGGTAGAAAATAAGACAAGCAACGATGATCCGCTCAGCTATGAGATACCCTCAAAATTCGTAAATTGGCATGTCATACATTTATTTGGGAAATGTGTCATAAATTGGCATATACTTAATTATACTGCGAGGTATGTGTAGAAGATGTGTCAAGAATCTGAGATAAGTTGAAACATATAGTATACATGTGTACATGTAAAAATAAATAGATCATTTTGTATATTATATCCGAAAGTTGTATCGAATCTTTGTCCGTTTCAATGTTTATCCGTCTATCTGTATCTATGCCAACAAATTTAGCAGATGTTTTCTTTGTGCTAAATGGTAAACATATTTTATGTATTTCAGAGCCAGCCGGCACTGCGAGAAAATTTTTCTCTCTTCTTCATACATTCAATTCTTGAGTTCTTTCGATAAAGTTTGAAGCAAAAGGTGAATTCGGAATACATTCGCTATTGGAAATGAAATGTATCCATAATTTTGCTGATATTACTACTGTACAAATGAAATATTTATAAAATATTTGTAGCTTTTCAGAAAATGTTTGCAAATAAGCTCATCCCATGATAAGTTGTATCAGCTTAACTGTCTATATATCAATTAAATTTAAAACGAGAAAGTAGGGATGTCTTTGGCATGCCTGTATGCAGATATGTAAGATATGTAAAAAACACAATATTTTGCCATACAAGAACCTAAATTGTCGTTCCCATGGCAGATATATGATAAAGTTGTCAGATGCGGCCGGTTCCGATATTTGGCTGGATATGCTGGTATAAAATATACACACTTTATGGGTGTTGGATATGTATCCTTCTATGCGTTACACACTTCATGACAGAATTATAATACCCTCTACAATGATAAATATACAGTATATAACTTATATTAACTAACAAATCAAACGACTTGTAATTTAAATAGAATAAGAAACGTTCTGTCTACAGCAGATATTTTATAAATATATTTCATAAGTTTTAGTTTAGGTGAGAGATTTTCAAAGCAAAGCCTTACTCACTTATTACACTTGACACGGCATAACACAATATTGTTCATCAAATGAGTAATGGAAAACATAGAAGAATAATACTTATAGGAATATTTTACCTACTGATTGCAGAAATACTTTAAAGCCATCTCGCAGATCGTAACGAGATTAATAAATAAGTAGTACAGACTCTAACGACAAAGACATAAAGCAAGCTAAAAGTGAACTAGTTTGGTCGGAACTAGTTCACTAAATGCACAAATGAACAGCTAGGTAAGAGCTCGATCAGCTTCAATAGCATCTTTAGTACAAACTCTCTCTTGTATAGAAGCTGTCCCATACCACGAACTCTTTACTCTCCGGCAGCGGCATAAACTCCAACTCTTCACTGATATTGAGGCAGAGCTCCGAGCCGCCCGGTCGCAGGGGCTCCCACTGGGTTGGCTCGATTTGCGGGCAATTGGGGTTGCCAGTCGTGGCGAACGAGGTCCACATGCCGATGAGTCGCTCTATGGTGCGATACTCGGGCGAGGCTCTGTCCAGCTTGGCGGACAGCAGCGTGTAGAACATGTAGGAGAGGTCGTCCGCGTGGCACACGCCCCGCACCTGCCGCCCGCACTTCAGGGCGCGGTAGTGATTGTAATGCGGCGAGTCCATGTCGAAACGATACAAGTAGGTGGGCGTGGCTGGAGCATAGGCAGCCCGGGCGAGCAGCGCACGATGAATGCCATGCCAGAAATTCTTTACGCTCAGCAGACGCAAGCACTCGAACAGCTCCATTTTGGTCCGGTCCGCATCATCGAAGTAGGCCAGCTTGAGGCGACGCAGCTGCTCGGCCAGCTCGTTGGCGTCGACGGCCTCGCGCACGGGTCGCGGAATGAGTGCCTCGAAGGCACTGAGCATGTGCTCCGGATCCTGTAATGTGGTCTGGTAGCTGAACAGGCCCTCGAAGGAGGTGCCGCCAATGATGAGAGGCAGCTCGTTGCTCCAGGCGCTGGCCAGTTGCTCGAGATGTGGCCGCGGCACCACACAGTCCTCGCCCACATATGTCTCCACGACAGGTCCGAAGGCAATTATCTCGTAATTTCGATGCTCCTCCTGGGTCACAATCGCATTGCAGTGCAGCGCCAGCTGGCTGCCAGATGTCCCGCTCAGAAATTTCAACAGCTGCTTCTCATTGTCCGCCTCGCCCTTGTAGCCCAACCGACTGGCCAGCCGCTGGGCCCAGCCGCTATCCGGCTGGATGGCCCATTCGCACAGCGCGGAGCCCGACTGCACAATGGCGCGATGGAAGAGGCCGCGCGTCTGTTCCGTGTGCATAAGGATGTGTGCGGACGTGCCGCCAGCACTTTCGCCCATCAGCGTGATGTTGTCCGGATCGCCATTGAAGCTGGCTATGTGATCGCGCACCCAGCGCAGTGCCAGTACCTGATCCTTGAGGCCGGCATTGCCAGGTACCTGCAGTTCGCGTTCTTTTAGGCTCAGGAAGCCAAGCGCACCCACGCGATAATTAAAGGTGACCAGCAGTACGTCGTGCTTCATGAAGTAGTCCGGCCCGTATATGTCCCGCATGGCACCGCCTATTTGAAAGCCGCCGCCATAGATCCAGACCATAACTGGCAGTGGACGCGGTGACTCCAGTCGCTTCACGTACACGTTCAGGAACAAACAGTCCTCAGATCCCTCCACCTTATTCGTTATAACGTTCTTCTGCATGGGCTGCGATCGAGCGTGCGTGCAGTCCCTTACCCCCTGCCAGGGCTTGGCCGGCTGTGGCGCCCGGAACCGTAGCTCGCCAACCGGTGGCTGGCCAAAGGGTATGCCCTCAAAGGAGTAGTAGGACTCCCCATCGTAGAAGGTCTTGCGCTCCATGCCCTTCACCTTGCCACATTTGGTTTCCAGCACTTTTGTACGGCCGGTGCTCAGTCGATACTGCACTACCTTATGCCCAATGGCCCTAGAAGAAAGATATGGATATATGAATATGATGGACTTCAAGAATTGAGACCAAGAATCTTAAATATTGTGGGCTTCATATGTTCATATGAGTTATAGTAGAGATTTAGTATTCTTCTTTCCACCTATTTGGCCTATTTGTGGAATGTCCCCTGATTTCACAACCAACTTTTGAGCTATTATCTTATGGATGTGCTTAAATATATATGTAGTTGTATTTATACATATGTATATCAAAACTAACAAGTTTTATTTGTTTCTCCTGAATTGGAAACATGAGTCATACAATATTAATAGACAAATATTAGAAATTCTGCGACCACAAATGCGGTTTTTACGTGCTACTCTTTTTCTTGTTACAACATTCATAAAATGACCAAAGTAAATTACGAGGAACTATAGAATTACTGCAATTCATATTCTAGAGAAACTTTGCTAGTACAACTTTTGAATACTAGGAAACATGCCCTTATTGTGCGAGTGTTCTGTTCGATATCCCTATTCTGTATATAAATGTACGATATAATATTACAAATATAAAGAGTGCTGTAGCTGCGGCTAGAAGATACTAGGAAATACCCTAAGCCCGGCTTTAACCTGCCGTTACAAACATTAAAAAAACTTGTTTGTTTTTTTTTTTATTTATAGAGAAACTGGTTTTGGTATCCAAATAGAGACATTTATATTTATGTAGTAACTACTTATAATCTTTGAGTTATGCTTAAGAAACCATGACTGAAAATCGATATTTATCGATAATGTTGAAAGAGGCGATATCGAATAATAGCATTATGAGCTCGTTCTGTTTCCTATGGTATACAATAGGATATTTTAATTTTCCAATCTGTAGTTTTAACAGAGACGATTGAACTGGCGAATATGGCCAGACAAACTGAGTTCATCGGCCTGTTCAAGAATAAATATATTTAATGGGGTATAGATACTTCTTCTGCCTGTTAAACACATTTGCGCACAGCTATTATGTTTTGTATGCAAACTGTAGAAGCAAAAACACTTGGCACGGCCAACAACGGCAAGTTAATTACAATTTGACAAATCTCTCTTTTATTCCATTACCTATTTGAAATGCAAATAAATTATGTTTATGGATTCAGTGCGTTGTAATCAGATTCGCCATATGTAATGAACTATTCGGTATGGTGCTATAGCTGGATTACCGATATCTTATCTATATTCGAATACCCGAATAATAATTGAGCTGCGTCACATTAAGTAAGCACTTCAATGAGGAGATACTCATCTATTGTCTGAACACTGATTGCCACAAAACTTTTGGACACGTCGCGCAGTCCCCACTTACTTTGCGGCCAACTTGAATTTTTCGGATACACTCAGCCGTAGATCCATTTCTATATATATACCCGTATACGTCTGTATATATATATATATATATTGTTTATGCAAAAAATTCTTTATGCTCCGCGGCACTTCCAACGCGCTCAAACGCCAAGCAGAAACTAAAATGTTTCCACTTTTGAATGCCCTGCTATGACTAAATGATTAGATAAAATCGCGCCTAACAGCTGGCTACATAATATGTGTATATATTACATATTATTATTGCTGATTGTAAGTCGATTCGGTATTTGATAGGTAAATGAAGTTGTTTACAAACAGCATTCGAACGGTTAAAGGTCAAGTTGCACTCACTTTCGTAAGAACTTTCTTTTCAATTCATTCACATAACGGACAGATATAACGCCCTATTCATATATATGTATACATCTCTATATATATGTTTATATATATACGAACGTATTTGTGCGTGTACGCTAAAGCAACAGGGTGGTTTCGCAGACACAATTAGGTCATCGAAACAGTTGAGACTCGAGGCGCCAGAGCCCATCAACAGGCATCGTCGTCATAATGGGCTACAAAAGGCCTCTGAGGCGAACGCGCCTAAGCCGAATAAATATGTGTAAAATTATATAATACACACATATTATGTATGAATGTAACGATGCGATGAGTCATGGGCTCATTGACCTTGCTTTTCGCAGCTCCCTTTTAAGAAAAATTGACACAAAGGTCAATCATCTCGGCTGGAAGAAATGAAAACAACAAAGTATAGGGCCAATCAGGAAGTATTGTTAGTCGAGCTAGAATCAAGATTGCCAATCTGTTAGTAAAAAAACCAGGAACTACAATTTCCTTAAAAATCTGAACTTACCCGAACTTGAAATGCTTTTTTCAATAACTTTTGGAAGAATAATAATTACTGGTATGTATAATATAAGACATCAATTTCACCCATATTCCACCCGGTTCAAGTTTTGCTCTTAATTTACGGTACGAATTTTCCACCCATTTTCTATCTACTACTACTACTACTTACTATCTCGAGCTCCACGTCTCAATTTTTATCTATGAACTAAGTTGAAAGCTCGTCGACAGCAAGAACAGAAAATTGAAATCAACGTTTTCCGCTCATTTTAAATAGAATTTCGTTTCCACATTTTTCGTTGACTCTGGGTGAATGTAGCGAAAAGTATGAAATTCGTTAGAAGTGTTCCAAAAGATCTTTGAAAATGATTTTGAAGCCGAACCGATACTAAACAAAAAAGGTTGCATACAATCGTTTCCGGCAATATTCCACAGTCGCACATGGAATTTCCAAAATCGATGAAAACGTTTTCATTAACAATAAGGTTGAAGCCGATCGGGCGAAACTCTGTGCGTCGCTCAAACAACCTTGGCCCTCCGAAATATGAAAATCACGAATGCGATGAATTTGCTTAAAGATCTTGGGTGAATCAAATTAATTTCAAAATATTTAATCATCTAATATTAATAGGAAACTATGAAAATTCCTGTGACCACAGCAGAATAAAAAGGCCTTTAAATGCGGTATTTTACGTGCTACTCTTTTCTTGCTACAAACCTCATTAAATTACGGAAGTAAATTACGCGGAATTACAGAAAATACAAAATCGATGAAACACTTTTCAATAGGACTAAGGCCGATCGACCGAGAGTACATCTCCACTCGAGAAAGCGCATTTACCGAAAAGTGTGACACACATATTTAATGAAGTTTTTGAAAGATATTTGAACTTTTCATCCGCTAGGGATGGTTTTGGGATTATTTTGAAACACATTTCAAGGTTGTTACATACGTTTGCACAAAAACATTATACCCGTTTACGCATTTTTAATGGGTTCAGGCTATAAAAATGTGTTCGTAAGTTCCTAAATCTAACAAATGTAATTAGACGCTTTGAACACATTGCTTCTGAAGGTCGTTATATATTTTTTTTTATCACAACTGTACATAAACTATTAGCCATTATTATCCAGCGTTGGCCGGGCCATGTTTTTTGCCTCAAATTTCAGACATTTCTTGCCCTGGCAAGGCCGACTGAAATAAGCAAATATTTTCTTAGCCTGCACGTGTCTTCGCCCCTTTGTTTGTTTTATTAAGTTAGGCAACTTGGACAATAAATATACTTAGCCAAGCTCAGAGCTCGCAATGAAAGTATCTTCTTTCTGTTGGATTTTGTTGACAATCATTTAAAAAAAAAGTAAGATCAAAGTTGAAATGCTTCTAGAAAATGCGAATATAAAATTCGCAATATTCGATTTACTGGCTTTTTACCATTGAATTTCCATTTGAGCCCTGCTCCCTGCTCCCTGCTCTTTGCACTTGACTGGAATCGTCTAAAGTGTCACAGCTGGGTTGGCATTGCCTTCAGATCCTCCTTCCTCTGCCTGGGAGCAGCTGGTTGCTGCAGCAACGTCGCCTGCGACACTGGCACTTGGCTCCGGGCAAAGACTTTGGCCAGAAGTCTGTCCTTCCTTCTGCGCAGCCGGGTAGGCTTGTTTGTTGTCGTCCGGGCAAGTGTTGACTGTCGAGTGTCGCCTTCTGCTTTTGGGTTGTGTGTTAGTTAATGTGATTATTTCACGCTTGGTCTGCTCCGAACTAACAATTCCTTTTCTGCTCCCTGCCTGCTCCCATTTTCTATTTCAGTCGGAGTTGGAGTCGGATTCCGTGCGTTATTATTATTTGTTTGCTTAGCTTTTGTTATCGTTTTTGTTCCGTATGCCTGTTTGTTCTTTAAACAATTTACGCTTCCTCTTATCTTGGGTCTTCTGCGCTGTGTTTATTCTCCATGCATATATATGTATGTAGTTATAAATGCTAACATGCCTGCCTTTGAGCAGGCGAATGCTGCAGCAGTGCCAACTGAGACAATTCAAATATTACTCATACGACACGTTGTCTTTACAGATGACTGGGCGCAAATATTTAGTTATTGTAAGAAAAACGATTTCCTTTTAAAGATCTTTTTAGAAAACTTGACTTTTTTTACACTAAACAGGCTAATTTCATTTGGTTCGATCTACTCTATCTATCATTAACCTCTTTAGGATTATTTGAGTTGAACAATTTTTGTAAATCTAGATTCTTTTATCAAAGTTAGCAGCCGTAAGACATTTGTCTGCAAGTGTAGTTAATCTTCGGCTAGCCCAAATTTGCCTAATATTTCATTACCACAATTTCTAAAAATTGAATTAATTATGTTTACATAGTTTGGCCGATCAACTATTTTGAGCGCAAGTCTAAGGCAAACAAAATGATGTTGAACCAAAATTTCAGCTGGGTTTAAAACTTAACAAATATCTTTTTATTTAATAAATTAAGACTGAAATAACTAAAATGATTTACAAAAAGATACAATTGAAAATAAAACAAAATCAGCCGGACATCGCACTAAAATTTTAAAATAAAAATTAGAAATTCGCCTCTGAAAAAGGGGACATATCGTTAGTAATATTATTTTGAAAACAAAAAAATCAGAAAATAATTTTCGGATTTTCTAAAAAGTAATGAAAATTTTTGACGTAATAAAGTTTTTTTTGTAAAAAGGAAAAAAACAAACACAAAATATTACATTATTTTCTAAACAGCCGAATTTTTTTTTCTAAAAAGTACAAATTTTTTTTATTTAGTTTTATTAATTAGAAGAATCTTCTTTTATATTTCCCAACAAATTATTGCGCTCACTCAAAACATTATTCACAACAAATTTTTGAATTATGACTTTGAAAATGACGAACTTTTCAATTGCAATAATTTTTGTTTTTTGCCTAAACAAACTCACCTGTAAAATGCGAAACGACATTTTAGGTGAAAGAGCCTCTTATTAAATTCAATTTTGCATTATCTACACCTGTCTGTGCTGTGGACCACAATGGGATGGCGCTGTCTGCCGCTTGTTGCCAGGTAAAAGAACTCAAACTCTTAACCTCTCCTGCTACTTTTGCAGGGCCTGAGTGCGTCTGAGTGCTGCACCTTGCCCTCGTGCCTGCCCAGCGTGCTCCGTGGTTCGGTTGCCATAGCATTGTGCAGATTCCGTTGGCAGCATTCCGTTTCGTTGGTGTTGCCATCGACTAAATAAATAAATAAATGCACAATGCAATTTATTTATGCATGTTTGTTTGTTTGCCTGTTTATATGTATTTTTATTTGTACAATTGTGCATACATACATGTATGTATTTGTTGTTGTTTGCCCCGTTTACCCTGCTTACATTATCGTTGTTGTTGTTGTTATTGTTGTGCTGCTTCAGTTGCCGGCGCCAATGCAACTGCAGACTGGCTACGCATCAACAAACAAATACACGCACATGCACATACAAGCACACTCACACAAACACAATCACACACACACACGCACAGGCAGAGTTACAATTGTGTCCTGATGCCATCATGAGCCTTGCCTCGACCTCCAAGTGCCAGCGTTCCACATTTCCCTCTCCTCTACTCTCTCTCCTCTCCTCTCGCTCGTTACGTTATCGTCATTGACTCCGTCGTCGTCTTCGCCTTCATCGTGTTTACATGGTTGCCGCCTACTGTTAAAGGTGACGACCCCTTGAAACGCAACCCCTTGCCCATACCCTGCATCTTTGTCTCGGTCGCTCCTTTGCTTGTCTGTTGTTGTTTTTGCCTTTCTTGTTCTGGATGTTTGTTTGGCTTGCCTGCCCTTTTGTTTTGCTGACGTTAAGGGGCAGCGCGTGTACAAATTGTTTTTCCGAATGTCCAAATTTTCAGGGCTGGGCACATTGCGAAAATTGGAGCTCACTTAAAGTGCATCCTTTGACATTCAAGCAACTGTTGCTCGTTTTGTTCTCCCTTTTAATTTTTTAAATTCCAATTCAATTTTAATATATTGTAAATAAAATAGTTAATCAGAAAATCTGAATCTGAAGAAAAACGAAAGCTCATGATCTTTTGTTATTAAAGGTGGAAGCCAAAGAACTAGTTCGTGCTCGTTCTCTAGCCAACGCACGCTCTGGTTCATTTGATGGCGCTTTTGTTGTGTGCTCTTTCGCTTTTGTGTTTTTGTTTTAGTATTCGCCGCTTTAATTTGGCTCACTCGTTCTTTTTAGCTTCGGTTTCGTAGTTGTTGCCGACTCGTGCCGTGCCGTGCCGTGCTGCTGCTGCTGCTTCTGCTGCCCACGACGGCTGCGACTGCGTTGTTTGTTTGCATTTGTGTTTTAGCTGCCTCCGCTTTGTTTTCTTTGCGCCCGCAGCACACAAAAACAACAAATAGTACGTACAAAAGCAGCAACAGCACCAACAGCACCAACAGCAGCAGCAGCAGCAACATCAACAGCTACATCTACAGCAACAACAATAACAATAACAGGGCTCCGACTCTATCAGCTTTTTAGCGCGACGTCGCAGTCAGTCAGTCGTCGTCGGTTGTCGGACGCAGGCGTAGGCATTCCAATTGGGACGCACGTTTCGAACTCGAATTCCCGTTCAATTTGTTTATTGGTTCGGTTCACTACGTCGTTTCGTTTCATTTTGTGTGCGTGTGCGCGTGTGTTTCTGTGTGTGTGACGTTATCACGCACCAATTGCGGCAATCGCTTAATGGGCACTCACACTTTCTGCGAGTGCAAGTGTATGTGTGTGTATAAAACAAAATTGATAAATGCACAGCGGCAATAAAAAAATAATACAAAATAAATAAAAGTCGTTGCTGCACACTCATAAATCTGTACGTATGTATGCATACATCTGTATGTACATAAGATCTGACATACATACGTTTATAAATGATTGAGTTGAGTGTGTTAAAACATAAGCAAACAAAAGTCACGGCTGTCAATGCGGTTCAATGTCTTCGGCCTCCTCAGCGAGCAGAGCGGCAGGAACCCACTAAGTGTGACATCAACAACAACAACAAGAGCAACAGCCACATCGGCCGCAGTAATAATCGCAACGGTAGCCGGCATCGGTGGCATTGCCGCAAAACTGGTTTAAGCCAAAACGAAAAGGAATACAATATCAATGGCAACAGCTAAAGACGCCGCGTCTGTTTAAGCATAGTATTTTTTTTATTTTTTGCAATAATGATTCAGAATCAAATGTCATACACGCATATAGCGATGAGTGAAATGGTCATTAAAAACACGATCATCATGTGCACGTACAAAAGCGAATGAGCAGTGAGATCTGATGTGCATTATATAATAAATATAATATAATATAATATGTATGCAACTGGATCAGTGAAATTGCAAAATATTTATTGCATATCAACAAAAATACACCTTTTTTTTGAACATAAATAAGTGATGCGAAAAGTAAATAACGATATTCGCCGCACGCCTCATTTACTTTAATTGTCACACTCCCATCTCTAATGTCGGCCAGCGACTGTTACTCTCATTAGAGTTCGCCCGGCCATTTTGCAGAGTCGAATTGCTTTAACCTCTCTGCGCGTTGGCCTTAGTGTGTGCGAGTGTGCGTGCGTGTGTGTGTGTGTTTGTGAACTACATGAATGTCGTGTACGAAAGGCGCTTAAACAAGTGCGCGCAAGCCAAGTAATAATAACAAGAACAACTACCGTTTTGCGCGTTTAAAACACGCGGCGTCGTCGCCTCGCTTACTTTATCGTCTATGTGTGTTTGTGTGTGTGCGCGACACGTTTGTGTTCGTGTACCGTTCTAAAAATAACCGTTTCATGTGCAGTCGCTGCTGCTTCGCAAGCGACAACGTCGTCGTCGTCGTCGTCGTCTTTCGTATTTGTATTTGTTATCGGTTATTTAACTTGATTTATTTGCGTGCGACTGTTGATTTATGTATGTCGCTCGAATGGGCCCACAGCAATAATAATAATAATAACAACAACAACAACAGCTTTCGACCAAGTCTCACGCACATTGTCATTTAAGTGGGTCAAACAATTATTGGCACGCCTAGCCCCTCCCCTCAGTTACGCCAATGGCGCCTTGCAGTATGTCCTGTTTTTTGTTTTGTTGTTGTCCTTCTACTTTCTACTGACGCCGCGTGTGTGTCTCTGGAGTCTTTTGAAGGCCACGCTTACGATTCGTGCATTTTGCACATGTCCTCAGTTATCCTTGCATACTTACAGGATGATTTAGATTTATAGTCTTAATAATAATTATTATTAATTGTTTGCTCCGGCATGTTTAGTAGTAAAAATTCTTTAATTTTCGCTGGCTTTAAAGCTTGCATTTATTTTGTAGATAATAAACTAATTTATACGATTGCAAATATATGCTTATTCAATAATTGATGTTTCTTGAGCTGTAGAAGTCAAATAAATCTTGCAGTGATTTGGACATTTAATCTTAACCCCTGTGTGTTCGTTGCTTTATTAACTTCTACTTCTCACTAATAAGAAGATACTTTTCCCGAGCCAAATGGGCATTATTGTAGTTGGTTTTCTTGTCTTATTTGAGCTTAAATGAAGTTCAAAGGACGCTGATAATGGGTTGCCATGAAACAAGTGGAAGGAAGGGAGGGTCGGTGCAACGGGGCATTCAGCTACCTTAATTTATGGTCGCCTTAGATCAGCTGGCGGCGGTGCATGCAACACATAAACAACATAATTAGTTACTAGTTAATCTGCAACACCATCATCATCATCATTTTGCCGAGGTCTATCACCGGTCGCGTGCGTGAGTATCGTGTCGGGGCCGCCCCAGTCTCATTCTCATTCGCTCGAAACGGATACGGATGCATCATAAACATCGTCGAACCGTCAGTTCGTCTGTCGTTTCATTTCCACGCCCAAATGCACAACAGCAACAACAATAACATTTACAGAGGCGCACTCGCCGTTCGTTTATCTCAGTTTCAATTAAACCTAATTTTGTTCGTGTTGTAATTAAGGTGTTGCCGCAAATAATTCGCAAATTCATCAACAAACCGCAGCA